CGGGTTGCGGGGCGGCGGAGCGCAGCGCAGAGGGCGGTGCGCGCCCCAGGAGGGACGCAGGGTGGTTCCGAGAGGCGCAGCCCGGGTGGGCGCTGGAGGCAGCGCCTCCGCCGCGGGCTGGAGGCTCGGGCGGCCTCGCGCTTCGAGCCTCTCCAGTCGAGGGCTCCAGGAGGGCCCGGGCACTGAGCCGCGGGGTCTGGGGTTCTGCAGTCGCGCGGGTGAGTATCGGCCGCGGGTGGAAATGGGTCGGCCCGCGACGACAGAGCGGCGGGGGTGAGGCCCCTCACCTCTTCCCGGCGCCCTTTTCCTCGACCAGGGTTTGCCCACCCCACAGAGTCCTCTGCTCCGGCACTTTGGCCCTCCCAACCGGGCCCAGCAGGTCTCAGTTCCGGCAGGAAGGGGTTAATGAGGGGCTGGGAGGATCGTGCGCTCCCCTCCACCACCTCAGACACGGAGGAGGCCCGAGGGCCTCAGGACGGTGCCCCAGAGGCCCATCCAGGAAGCCCCAGGGCTTTTCACTTTCGCTTCTCCCTTCTCAATATTGGTGTCACCTCCGACTCCACATCTGGCCACTGCCCTCAGGTGTGTGCCCAGACACACGCAGAAGGCTCCCCAGGTGCACAGGACACAACCACTAGCATCCCCACCTGCTGGGGCAGCAGGCGTCCCAGAGAATGCACAACCACACACAGGAGCCCCTCCCAGAGCCCCCACATGGGCCCCACATGCAGCCGGCAGGGCCCAGGGCCTCTCTGGGCACGGACTGCCGGCGTGAGGTACCCCTGGTGACACTGCCCTGCGTGCCCTTCTGGGTGCGGACTGCCAGCAGTGGGCATGACTCCTGCAACACTGCCACCACCTGGCCCCACCAATGTCCCCTCCCAGCTGGGCTCTCCCCGCCATCAGACGCAGCTCTTCCTGGGGTCCCGGAGGCAGTGGGCTGCCCTGCTCAGGGAAGAGGAAGAGGGACCTTAAGCCCAGCTGGTTCCACATCTCACAACCCCCTGGACCTGCCCATAGGTCCCACAGGTCAGTGTCACTGTCACAGCCCCAAATGGCCACTCTGGACTGAAGGCACGCTCTGGCAACAGCTTCCCTTTCCCTCCACGCTCCACAACTACAGCCGCAGCTGGGGGGGCGGGCAAGTAAGGGGGGCTCACTGTCCGGGAAGTAACACACACCACACCCCAGGCATATACCCGCATGCTCCCGCGCTGCACTCACCGCCTTGTGCTCTTTCCTGGACCTCAGGCCCAGGAGCCAGTCCCTTCCTACTGGAGCTTACTCCCTGGTCCTCAGTTCCTGAGCCTTCCCCACTTCCTAGCCAGCACCCTCTCCAGCCTGGGGTCTGAGGCCCCGGGATTGTAAAAGCCCTGGAAGACGCCACCTGCCTCCCACCCTCATCCCAGGCAAGCGCAGGCGAAGGCCTACAACACGGTTGCAGGCGAGAAGCCTTGGAAATGGAGGCCCTGACTGCCAGAGCCTCAGTGAAGGGCCAGAGAGGCTCCTGGGAGGCTGAGAGACTTGATGCTCTGCTGGGGAAACTCTGGGCCGCGAAGCCATGGATGCCTTGAACTGGTCAGAGAAGACCTCAGTGGCAGTAGGTGAGGGAAGGCACAGGCCAAGTTAGGCCTCAGTGTCCTGGATGCCCGGGCCTAGAGGCCTTGAGGCCTCAGGGTTGGCCTTGACTCAATCTTCCGGGGCCTGGCTGGACACCAAGGCATCAGGGCTTTCCCAGGTGGGCAGGGTGGGTGGCAGGGGGCAGCGTACAATCCGACCCGGCGGCCTGAACTCCTCCGACGTGTCCTCGGCTCCCTGGGCCAGTCCAGGCCCCGCCCCCGGCCCTCCCTGCGCCCGGCCGGTGCGCGGGGAGGTCGGAGGAGCGGGCACTGCCCACCCTCCGGATGTATAAGCGTCCTGGCCAGAGGCCGGTGGTGCGCGCGGGTGCGCGTGACACTCGGGCTCCCGGGCTGTGCGGCCTGGGCCGTGTCCCTCTGCTCGGGGTCCCCAGCCACGACAGTGAGCCGGCTGAAGGGGGCTGGGGGGGCGCTTGCTGGGCTGGGTCCCGTTCCGCCGCGCTGAGGAACGGACGACGCCACAGCTCTGGGCTTGTCCGCCTGTGGCCAGTGCCGGAGCCCGAACTGCCCTCTCCTCACCCAGGTGCAGGGGCAGCCAGGGAGGAGGAGGCGGGAGGGGCTGAGGGCAGGGGCAAGGCTGAGCCCAGGCGGCCCCATGGTGATCCATCGGTGCCTCACTGACCCTGGCTGAGGCTGGGCGTTCCCGGAGTAGCTGCTTCCACTCGGGGACTGTAGAACCTGACAGTGGCTTCGCCGGACAGAGGGAACCCCGGCCTCGGTGGGAACAGCGGGATGTTCGAAGGGCGCTGGTCACGGAGGTCCCTGGGAGCAGAGGCCAGGGGCAGGGAGCTTGAAAAACAGAAGGGCCCCACACTCCCAGGGCGCTCCACCCATCTGGGCCCCTTGGCTGCCACCAGCCCGGAGTGGGGGGCTGTGACGCCATAATCCCCTGGGCCCAGGGCTGGAGGCTGTGAGTGGCATCGCAGGCCCCCGCCCCCGGGTCCCGTGGGCTGGGCTGGCCTCGGTGCGGCTGGGTGCACGCAGTCGGAGGCGGCGCCGGCCAGGCCGCCAGGGCGCCTATGGACGCGCGGAGCCCGCTGTCTCCCCGGGCCAGCGCGTTCAGCATCGCCTCTCTGGTTGCAGCAGAGGCCGCAGAGCGCACCGTTCGCCTGGGCCCCCGGTCCTCCGACCAGGCGAAGCTCCACCGGCTGTTGGGATCCCTGGCAGGGATGCACTTCAGCACCGTCACCAGGGACATGGAAGGTGAGCCGTCCTGCTGTGTCTACGGGGACCCGCCCGCCAGTCCCCCTGCCACTGCTGCCGTGGGGCCCAAGCAAAGAGTGTTGGCAGGGCCCGGGCACAGAGTGGGTGGAGGGAGCTCTGGGGGGGTGGGCTCCAGGCTTCCAGCGACTCGGGAGCAGAGAAGAAGGGCAGGCATCCTGCCCAAAGCCTGTGCACCCTCCAGCCTGGGGACCCAGCTGCAGAGACACCCGCAAGCAGCTAGACTCAGGCCCAGAACAGGACTAGTGGAAGCCAGGAGGGACAGGAGAGGAGGACTGGAGAAAGGTGGCAGAGGTGGCCGCAAGCTGGGAGAGGTGGAGGGAAGGTGGCAGGAGCGTAGTGTGTCACAGAGTCTGGGAAACTGGGAAAACGAGAGAGAGAAAGTGTGAGGGCGGCGGGAGGAAAAGAAATTGAGAAGAGAAAAAACACAGAAAACTCAAAAGGAAGGTTGGAAAAATGAGAAAGATGAAAAAGAAAGAGAGCAAGAACGAAAAAGAAGAAAGTGAAGGAAAATTTAAGACAGAAAATAAAGTCGTAAAAAAAGGGAAAAGCTAGAGAAAATCTCCAGTTTTTATTTTGTTAAAAACAAAAGAGGAAAAAAACCCGGAATAACAGGAAAAGACCTACAGAAATAAGAGGCAAAGGCAGACTGGAAAGAAAGACGAAGTGATGAAAAATGAAGTGGAAAGAAAGGAGAGGAACAGAACTGGAGAAAGAAAGAGGCAGAAAGTAAAACAGAAATAAAGAGAAACGAAAGAGATAGTGGAAGAAGGAAAGAGGATTAGGAGGGAAAATTTCATCGAGGAAGACAAAGGTAAAGAAATAACAAATTGGAAAAAGAGCCTGGAGAGAGAAAGGAGAAATGCAACGCGGGAGGGCGGCAGAGCGAGGGGCGGCGGAGGGCCCGGCGCTCTGGGGAGCCGGTCCGGGCGGTCGGGGGGCCCCGGGCCGAGC